GTCCCTCTCTCTATCGCGATCTTCGCGCATTCTCCGATTGCGGTGAAATTCTTCGTCACTGGACTCTGCTTCAGATGACTCGGCCGAAATGTCCGAATAGCTTCGGCTAAGACGAGACGGAGGAAGACGGTCGCGACTTCGACGTCCGCGTGAGGAATCAGTGTTATATGATGAAGTACGGGGCGCATTCCTGTTACGATCTTGACCGTTGCTGCTAAGCCCGTTGGGCAGAATGTTCGACACCTTCTCTGAAAGCTTCTCTCGAAGACTAGGGCTATGTGTTGATCTTCGACGACCCGACTCATCAGGTCTCACATCGGCGCGATGGGGACGGAAAGTCGGTGGTGGGTTACTAGCAACTGGTGGAGGACGTTCATTCGTAGGCGAGTATCGACGAGATGTCGGCGAGGGAGGGCTCACGTCGGATCGCTTTCTCGCACGAGGAGGGACAGGTTCGTCGTCGCTGGAATCCGAAGAGTAGTGTCTGGGCTGACTGTGTCGCCGGGGCGGTGCGGGCCGTTTCGTATTAGGGTCGAGATAAGTATCCGATGGTCCCCTAGCTGGGTGTGGTGGGACATCTGGTGAGGGTGGCTGGTTGTAGTCGGAGAAGCTTCGTCGTCGGGCATGTTCATCAGAGCGACTGTTGTATCTCTCAGGCGAAGGTCTGGTTGGTCGCGGTCCTGCATGTCTACCCGGAACATGATTGTACAACGGTCGCTCTGGCGCCGGTCTAGCCCGATTTCCAGCAAATGCACTACCTCGTACGTGAGAGTATGCAAACTTGGGTTCCGGTCCATCACCAGGCTCGCCAGGACCAGTCGGCTCTCGTGCTGCTTCCCGGAACGCCTCTCTTTCTCGTGCATTCGCTTCCTTTCTTAGCTTTTCGGCGCACGACTTGTGCCAACGATCCACCTCGACATCTGGTTGTGACGGGAAAACGGTAGGTGGTAAATCTGGAGGAAATTCTTGACCGGTCTCTGGGTGTTTTAGCTGCCAGTTCTTGACGGCAAACTGCAAGAAAGGAACGTGTTCCTCAGGTCCAAGCAAAATCTCGAGAGACTCCCATCGTGAAAAGCCTCTTGGGGTGAGAGCAGGTATTGAAGGTGGTTCAAAGTCGTTCGCTGTTGGTTGCATTGTATGTTGGCATCCAGTCACTTGCCATATGTAGGAGATGGACTCGTGGGGCATCTCGAAGAGAGCTGAAACTTGTCAGCACAACTATTATGGTAGACAGTCAACAAAATTCACTCACAGTCATAATCGCCTCCAACGGCCTTGTAGAATGCGGCCAGTTTCTCTGGTGTAAGATGACAGACATTTTTGTCTCCAATCTCGAGTATCTATTATGACGTAGGGTAGTTAGTTTGCGATTCTTGCCATAGCGGTCTTCTTTGTTAAAGTCCAGGCGGGAAAAGGCGGGCGCATACAATATGACGACTTATAGATCTTAATAGAGCATCTAATAGCTTGGAAGGGCTCTTGTCCTTTTCATACATGTATGTGTACTCAATGGGAGGAGGCGGCGGGGTTGACGACGTTGCGCCAGGCGCTGGCGGGGTTTCTGTCTTTGGAGGGGCCGCCATGGTTGTGAAGTTTGAAGATTAGGCGAGAATAGAGTTGAAGTTGGAAGAAAGTCGTTGGCAGAAGATCACGATAGTAGTGCTTTCACATCCAGGGCAAATCGCGGGGAAACGTGGATAACGAGGCAATCGGCGGTCAGGTCAGCGGATCGATTGTCAATATCGACGTCGATGATCGGAAAGATAGGTTAAACAGAGATGCAACGGTACGCAGCCGTAGACGAGGACGATGTCGCATTCGGTTAAACGGTCCTGGGGTGAGAAGAGGAAAAAGCAAGCAACAGATGATGGGGAAACTTGAAACGCGATAACAATAAAAAAAGACAAAGTCACGAAAAAGAAAGGAAATATTGCTCAGGCGCAGCCCGTCAGGTTGGGATCCGATACCTTATGAATGGAGCCCAGCCCAGCTGATGACAATGACAACCTAAACTAAAATGCTCCAGGGACAAGGGACAAGTCAGTAGGCAGCGCAGCGCAACCAGGCAGAGATGGATGAAAAGTGCCAGGGGTATGAAATAGACAGCCCAGCCCGGCTTGGCAAAGGGTAATGGAAGTGGGCAGAAGATTAAAGCACAAGCAGGAAAGAACAAGCAAGGCAATTAATACAGTACAAGGCACACAAAGGATTGGAAGGGGAAAAAAAGAAGGAAGACAACAAGTGACAAATGTTGGTTTCCCATGTAAAAGACATGGATGTGCCTGGCAAGACAAGATTGGGTGTGTGGCTGGCAGGTACTTGTTACAGTACAGTACTTGATACCTCGGGTTATCTTAGCAGCTGACCTTGTTTGTCATCTGCTGTATTATCACAATGTTGATCTTTATTCATCAATTCTTCCCTTTGTTGCACAGCTTAGACTATATCCTCGTTTATACCTGCAGTGTCTACCGTTCAAGTCTCGCTACCAGCAATATCTTTCCGAGAATTGAGTACACAGCAGTCGACAGTAGAACCTAAACTAACGCACCTAAACATCACAGCGCAGACGTTGGCGTGCTTGTCTTGGCCTTATGCCTCAACTTCTCGTGGCCTGACACGTGCATCTTTGCCGGGTGATCCCTTCCCTCCCTCTCCGTTGTCTCTGTACAACAAATTGTGGATTTTTCGCACCTCGCACAGCTGGCTGTGCGATACTAAGCCCAACGGTAAAAAGCACGAAAATAGGTCCTCTTCTAGAACAAGCCCAGTTGGTTCCCTCAAGCTCAGCCTCCAAAACGGTGGCCGAGTTGCTCAGCAGCGAAAAGGCCCCCACCTGCCAAGTTGAGATCTGTAAGATTTAATTCTGAGATGCATACAGAGAATGAAGCTGAATAATCTCGAATATTCTCACTTTCTCTTATCTGCATGATTATTTCATCACCTGTGATAAATCATAATTTTCGTTTCGTCGTTTTTGAGTAACGTGAGAATGCGCAGCTTTGTGAAACATTTGAGCTCTGATGTCATTGCTTGATCAAAATGACAGGGAAACAAGGTCGCTCCGAATGAATGGTCGGGCCCGGAAAGCCGGAGCAGAAAGCTGTTGACCAGTGTCTCTATAGGGTAGGCCACTTGGGCTATTCGACGTGGATTAATGTTATAGCATTCTGATCATCAGCGAAATTCCGCCCAATACTTACTGTACCTGATATGACACTCAACCTTGGAAAAGAGGTGCTTTTTGTCTCGACATCCCGAAGCCATGGATTCACCTGATGAAGCGCCATACTTTTGCATGGCAGATACAAGATGTCGCCTCTGCCAGTTCGAGTTGGAAGAAGGCGACTTGGTCGTCGCACGTCTGTTGGCCTGATCCGTGAGACGTTGGCAAGGAATGGCTCACGTAAAGATAGACATTGGGGGCCTTCGATTTTCGTTGGAGTTTAACCTCCGTATGTCCGACACTATATCCGACGATTTTGAATGGATCAATTTGCACACTTGTGCCAGACCTCGATGCATGTTAGAGGGTCGACGCGTACCTTTCTTTCATAACGACTGTCTTGACTTCAGGCTCTACGACATCTCGGATGCGCTGATAGTTGCTGGAGATTACGCTTTTGACCCTCCTGCACACGAGAGAAATAGACGCTCTCGTCGTATCAAGAGTCTTCTGGCTCCAAAGCTGAGAGACGAACTTCAGATTAGACTTCCGGTTGAGACGCTGATGGCCATAGCTGGATTCCTTGTCTGTGAATACGCTGTCATCACGACAGAAACACAGTCGCTGGGGACTGATGTCTCTGATATGACTGTTGACATAGCACAAGATGTGTACGTTAGTTACACGACCATCGAAGGCCTACGCTATGTGAAGAGCATTGGCAACACGGCGCCAAAGCTCTGCAATGAAGATCAGACTGGGTTACTTAGCAAGCAGGGAGAGTCTGTCGGTAAGATATGGATCGCCGAGGATTATCGTGGGATTCGTTTTGTGAAATTTTTGTTCTGCAGACGCCTCATTAGCAGGACCTACACCAATCGTGAAGTCGTGGTGGAGAACCATCTCTATTCCGTGCGATGTTGACAATATTACAATTAAATTTGATGTAAGTGCCATCTGCGCAAGTCAAGTTCCGTATTAACATCAGGTCAGGGTCTCAAAGTGAGGGGCATTCTCATTCATAACGAGACGATACCAGATGGCACCAGCAATTATGTTGGTTGGGTGAGCCCTGAACATCCAAATAATGTCATCGATATCACGACGTTCGACCAAGTCAATACCTTTTCCGAAAGACTTATGATGACGTTCTTTAATTGCAATACCAACGGTATAACCGGATATACGGCAGTAACTAGCGGAATCTCAGTTACAATGATTCATGCTCGTGAGAATGACAGTACTGGCTTCTATGCAGATATGGACGCTGCTTTCTCGCGCGACTTCTTCATTTATATGCCACTTGATAAAGGAGAATATGTGACTGAGATATGTCGAAGATATGCACTAGCAGCAGGAGATCGGATCTCGGCCTGTCTCGTGTTCATTACAAACAAAGGTAGAAACACCCTCTTTGGAACAAGCGGTCCTCCGGAATCTTGTCTGGCACTCGATAGGATTCTAACGCCTGCGCCAAATGGAACGCAGATTTGGTTCAACGATTCAACATCGGTATATCCAAAGTCGCTTAGATATCTTGCAGTTGATGGACTTGCGCCACCCGTCCAGCGTCCTTTTCCCCCTTCACTTATACCAAACCCTCCGTACTTCTGGACTCATAACACTGAGTCATGGTTTGTATCATCATGCAGTATGGAAGGGATTGTGGATATGACTATCTGCAGAGATACAGCATTTGATCATCGACCAATCACCGGAATTCTGCTAGAATATGAAAATGGTCACCGGGAATGCTTGGGCCAATTTCGGTTTGATAAGACCCTCAAGAAGATGCCAGTGCAGCATACAAGGGACCTGTATATCAGCAGCTTGAGGACCACACGTTCGTATCTCTATGTTGCAGACATTACTACCTCTCCGCCACATGGCTATGGAGGTCTATCTTGGATGCAAGTTTCTCGATACGGTACACTTGAATGGTGGTCGTCTTTTCATCATTCCATCGTGCGCTACACATCTATCACAGGACAGCTCACCAACTTGCAGACACCATTTCCGAACTACACCAAGCAAATTTAAGGATTCTGCAAACCTTAACCAATCCTATCCCGGGTGTATTATGTGACGCCTCATCGAGGGCTGACCCATGCCGCCATTCCTTTATATGTGATTTCCCTCCAATTATCTTTGGTTGTTCTCTTCTGTCTGCCATTGAGAACACTGTGAAAGTACTCAGTTCACCTCCTGCGGTAAGCAATCCATCTAACTTGAACTTTGATGAACCGGTCACTGGCAGAAGGTGTCTGCCTGAATCCCCCAAGGGATGAGGCTGAATTCTCAGCATACCTGTATGAATAAGTGTTGTTGAGAAGGTAAGGTGTGCAGTAAGGTTGAGTCTTTAGCCCTGAAGTGGTGAACTAGATATCTATTCTATAGACTTAGGCAAGTCTTTAGCTCTATAAAGCTTAACGAACCTTCTTGGGACGATATTTGCCGCCCAGATGAAACATGGCCATTACCGTTTTGGCCTTTGATGGCGGGTGGCGTGGCCTCGTTGACCAATGGTGTCAACAAAGTATGAGCTTATTGAATGCCATGGTATACAAATCAGAAATTATAAGACAGAACAAATGCTCTTGGCACTTCATTCTTTCACTGAATAAATCCTCTGGGAAATTGCAAGTCTTGTCAACAATCTGTTCACGATATTAGTGACCCGATTACCTGGATAGCAAGCCGTTGATCTACCTCCTTGTAGGGTAAGCCACTTGCGCCTGTCATAGGGCAGAACCAGGGTTTGTATCCACTAAACCCATTCAGGTAAAGTTTCATCTCCAAATTCATTGCCGCATTGTTGGCCTCTTCCCTTCTCGAAGCTTTTCATCCCCAAATCACAAGCACAGTGACGTCTTTTCTTTGTGTCATCTTCTTTCACACTCCTTGACAACACCCTTTATTGAGTTTTGACCAACTTTTTTCATCCACCACTCTAGACTTTGGTTCTTGACAAAAACATCACCATCATGGACGCCCTCAAACCCGCCGTCGAAGCCGTCAAGCCGGCCATTACAGCTATCACGCACAACATCCCTGCGCCCCTTCGCGACATTGGCGTTTCTCTCATCGGCGAAACTTGCTACAAGTCTCTTCTTCTCGACGTCAACATCGAGGATGTCGACTGCATCAAGCTCGGTGTCTCCAAGGCTCTCGGTATTGGAATCATCGCTGCCTCCGCTGTCGTCAAGGTCCCCCAGATCAAGAAACTCCTTTCGTCCAAGTCCGCCGAGGGCGTGTCTTTCCTTTCCTACGTCCTCGAGACGGCGTCGTACCTCATCTCGCTCGCCTACAACATTCGCAATGGCTTTCCTTTCAGCACCTTTGGCGAGACTGCCTTGATCGTTGGACAGAACGTTATCATCTCGGTGCTTGTGCTCAACTACAGCGGCCGAGCTAGTCTGGCTGCTGTCTTTGTCGCCGGTCTTGCTGCTGCCGCTGCTACTTTGTTCGCTGAGAACATTGTTGATGCGAAGACCTTGGGCCAACTTCAGGCTGGTGCTGGTGTCCTGAGCGTCGCTAGCAAGCTTCCTCAGATCGCCACCATCTTCCAGCAGGGTACCACCGGTCAGCTCAGTGCTTTTGCTGTAAGTCACTTCAACATCCAATTTATAACACAATGACTAACATATTCAGGTCTTCAACTACCTCGCCGGTTCTCTCTCCCGAATCTTCACAACCCTCCAGGAGGTCGACGACAAGCTTATCCTCTGGGGATTCATTTCTGGATTCGCACTCAACGCCATCCTCGCTCTCCAGATGATCTGGTACTGGAACGCTCCATCTGAGAAGGCCCAGGGCAAGCGCAAGGTTACTCCCATCGAGGCCAAGCCTGCTACTAGCACTTTGAGCCCTTCTGCCTCTACCACGGCTACTCCCAAGAAGAGCCCTACTACTCGCCGCCGCGGTTAGATAGGAATATCTAGGTTCTTGTGCGAGATTGCGTTGATTTATAGAGAAATTGCTTCCATAAGCTCATATTTAATACATGTTCACTTTGCTATACCCATGCTTCATTCATTATGAATACGTTACACTACAAGCGCACTCGGAGTGCAATTTCTAGTGTACTGATGTTGTATCTATTCAACTACCTATATATCCTAATGAAATGCCCGTTGGTGATGCTATCCCAGCAATCCATGCAAATGGTATCCCCCTGTTGTGCCCTGGTATAAACGCCATTGTAATAACCCAAGTTGTCGCTAATGATTCCAATTGTCCAATCCTATATCCCAACCCTCAAAAAGCCATCGCAGTTTGTCCGTTCGCTGTATTGTGACTCGGTGTGACGTTTCGACCTGCGCATCGCAGACAACGTTTCTGCTCGCCGAGGTTGCTGACAGAACAGCTAAAACAGACGTGCTTGCCGCAAGCACCGCATGAGTGATCCTCATTGTCGAATCCATCCACTTCCATGCCATCGTCGCCGCCGTTCAAGCTTACACCACAATCGTCGCAGTTCGAAGGTGCCAATTCGGTCTGGTTGAGAGTAGAAGTCGAAGCGGATGGCGCAGAAGAAATATTCCAGAATCGATGAAGGGATTGTTGCGTTGACTCGGGTCTTGTAGTTTGCGCCTCCGTTTGCATATGTTCCGATGGACTTTCCTCATGTTGATTCTGGTTCTGCGCTGAGTACAGCATATTAAGTGTACGTTCTAAACCTTCATTAGCAAACTGTCCTCAAAACTCATATAAGACAAAAACTCACGATGAATCATCTCAGCAGAAGGTCTATTATCGCGAAATCGCTTCATAGTTCGACTATGAAGATGAATAGGTGCTGAAGCCATGATGGTAAAGGGATTGGTGATGGAGCTGTTCACGCGTGGAGGCGAGTCGAAGGATGAGACTGATGAGGGCGAGGCGCAGAGCTCGGAGACGGATCGTTTGCGCTTATGGGCTGCCATTTTATATGATTGGGTTGTTGAACTTCTAGGATCGGGTTTGTTAAGGAATTGGATCTTGGATGGAGAGTATTTGGATGAGGATGTCACGAGTGATGAGGTGAGATGAGATCTCTACTTGAGTTGTGGGGCTGTTGGCGGCGCGACATGGCGCGCTTGGATGGTGACGTCTGGGCGGGTGGACGCGTTAATGGGCTCGCGCTACCGCTACCGTTTGTGGTATGGTACCACCTCCGTGTAAGTCACATACTCTATCTCTCGGTCCTCTGTCATTCCGCTGATACCAAGTAAGGTACTATACCTAACAGGCAATTTACTCCTGGAAGATCGAGGTTTCAACGGTCTACTGCCCTCACTGCAGACTTACTTGGAGTAATAACACGCTTGTGGTGATCGCTGACCAGTATTGACTTCCGAGATGTTGTGATGAAAGGTCTAGACTCTCGATGTTTTGTCACCCAACCAATTAATCTACAATGTTCCGATCAAGGCTTACATTGTCGGTCGCCTATGATGTTACTGCAGATACCCAACAGCAAAGCACAGTTTCGTTTGAAGCTTACGAACACGCCTCTCGGTTCATGGTCAGTGTCAATCCCCAATATTGATCCTCCACGAGCGATATCGCCCAGTCTTACAGTCAGGCCACAGTACCTGAAGTAGTTAGCAGGAGTGACTGCCATCGGGGCCGTTGGATGACCGTTGATCTCTGGGCCTCTGGCAGAATCATATTAGTCCGTACCATCCAATACTACATATGGTGCTTGATGCATATCCATACTCCGTACCACAGACTGCAATACATATACTTGCAGACATATCCTTAGATCCGAAATTCATCCCATACTCACGCAGGATTTACTCCACACATCACCCCCATGTATGACATGTTCCCTACGCAATATTTCTCTGCGCAAACAGATCAAAACTCCACTGAGCTGTCTAGTCCTCGTTACAGATCTCCTTACAGTAGTAAAAGCTCTTGACTCTACCGACATGCATCGTTATTGAAACATTCTAGCTTTTGGTGTTCTGACACCAGGGCAGTTGAATTATGACATTTGACCCAGGCCTTCATCATCAGTCGCCCATAACTTCCATGCCAAGAACAGAAATTCGCATATGAAGGTCTGGATCAGTGACTGGCCGCGCGTCAGCGCCACAGCAATTTTATCAAGAGTTCACAGCAAAAATGACATATCTACGATGGAAAAGCTCTGGCTCTGAAGTTGGGCCAGGGCGCGTCCACGGTATCTGGCTCCCAGCCTACGTATCCGTGCCTGGCATCGTGCAGTAGAGTCAAGCCTCATATCGTATCTAGGTGAGGGACCTGCAGGGAAGAGTGGGGAGTTGTCCTCAGTAGCCAATCACCCTTTCTAAGTCTGTCACCGCAACAGAAACCTACCATAGAATTTCTACCACAGCCCTTCTGCCACAGCCCAAAATATGCAGAGAAGGGGAAGCTTGCCGCGAATTATATCATCAGGGGCAGTACTCAGTTACCTGTTTTGGAAGTCAATATATAAGTGACACTCTCAACTCTGAATAATCCAGTCTTCCTCGAGTTCATCCCCATTCTACAATAGAACCAAAATGAATGCTGACGCTATCATCACCCTCGCTAGCGCGATTCCCGCTCTCTTGATTACATCTTTAACTGCCTGGCTTACTTACCTGACGCTACGCCGCCAAAATATTTCTCGCAATGATCTTGAAACCGGAATGATTAACTTTTTTGTTGCACCCAGAAGCAGCACTTCTTTGAGACAAGCTCCGAGAAGCAATTTCTGGCCCACTATTCCTGAACCGCATAGCCTTGAAGCCCCTACTTTATCCTTCCAGACGTCAACTACCCCTCTACCGTCGTGTGAGAACTTGCCCCAGCTACAATTCCCACCTCTGGCCCTTTTGCGGAGCGGGAACCAAGACGATCCCGATTTTCGTCGTTTATCTTCATGTCGGACGATCTAGTATGACCTATCAGTGTAAGTGTAATTTATTCACCTATACCATGCCTGATGTCATTGTGTCCAAACTGACCTTTCCTCCAGGTTGAAAGCTTCGTAATGGCAGTGCAGCGCTGACAGGGTTTGTCATTTGCCACTGAACATGCGGCAATTTGTGCCTATAGAGCTTGGGTTACGGAGAGAGGAAAGGTGTTAAATGGCACGGCATTTTAGAAGGACTACTGTTACTCGCATGTACTGTTTTAATTATTCTTTGTTCCATCACGCCTGTTCCTGAAGCGAGCTGTTCTTTCACTGCCCGAATACTAACGAGCCAGGGTGTAAGTTAGTTTTAAGTCTGGCTTCCCGCACAAAGGACGGGAGCTAATAACTTCACTGCATCTTTAACTCTTCCCAAGGACGTCCGTCAGTTGGCATTTTCACTGCAAAATTTACTATCGGACCGCGCTTGCACTGCAATTGTAACACACGCCGAGCTCTCATCTTTAACAACCAGTAGACCAAAACTTTCAGTATAAACCGGCATCTATTCTTCTAGCAAACAAACTCCATAGCTCGCCTTGTATATAACCAACAACCCAGAGTAGCTGCAACATTATTTTATTCCCGGCGCTGTAGACTCCAACGTCGACGTCTGACTTTCTTAGGAGCGATACCAAAAGCCGTCCACTGGGTGATAGCTGTATTTTACTGGTTGCTCATGGTCTTATGAAGAGCCCATTCATAAGGAGATGTGATACAAAAAAGCTATAAGATTATTAGGAATATGTCCAATGCTATAAGTGAAGGAATAGTCTTGAAGAGTTATTCTTCTAGGCGTAAGCTGATAAAATTATGGCTCAATAGTTTCTGACTCACATACTGGAGTGCTGCGAATATGCTGCTGTACCATAGTAAGTAAAAAAAGCTTAATGTTGTTGATAAATACTTAGATACGCTACAACTTTATTAGAATGATCCTTGCTATCGGTAATTGGTAAGATGGGCGTCCCCTGGATGGTTCCATATTGAACATTTAGGGTGTTGTCTTTTGGGTACCGCCCTGCCGCTCTGAGTTGCTGAGCTTCTTGAGGAGTTAATATCTTACCACCGGTACATCTTCTTTTACAACATCAAACTATACACATTAAATCCTATCTTTGGACTTCGCTATAATTCCGAACTAACATTATATCTAACATCTACTAATGACCTTCTGGAACAAGAATGATAATGAGGCCATGGCTTTTGGGTCAGTTAATTAAGCTGCTAACTTTACTTACGTGTGTCGCTGCGGCTGATGGTGCATTGTGCCTTCCAGTGAGACTCACTATACCCAAAAAAGAAATTACGAAGCGAGATAACGTAGGAGTTGAGGGATTGTTTAAATATCATGTTATTGATCCTTTCTTTGTCTCTATATAGTGCGCCTGTTACTTCATCATTTTGCAAAGAGTAGGTAACTAATCAAATACCCAATGTTGTCTATATCCATTACAATACATATCTGAAAGGACTTTATTATGAGTCAACTCAGCACAGATGCAATTATCACTCTCGCCAGTGCAATTCCCGCTCTTCTCATTGCATCTTTAAGTACTTGGCTTGCTTATATGACATTGCGCCGCGGACACATCTCTCGCGATGATGTTGAAACCTTAACGACTGACTTTGTTACTTTACGCGCTAGTACTACCCCAGCGAGGTATTATATTCATGCGTTTCTATCTAGTTGTTTTCTGGCACTAAACGATGCAGTCTGGAAATGCAAACATCATCGCCCCAAGCCACGACTCTCTCATCGTCAAGCGAAAACTTTCCCCAGTTGCAATTCCCACCTGTTGCCCTTTTGGGTGACTTTGAACGGAAACCAAGACAAACTCGGTTTTTACCGATCACTACGTCAGACCAACGATACCAGCCTGTAAGTGTATGCCACCCCGCTAAACGCAGCCATGTTCATGCCATTGGGTACTGACCCTACTACCCAGGAGCGAGTGCCTGCGGTGGCAGTGTAACACTTAGACGACAAACATTGTGATTTGGTGCTGAGGAAGTGATCTTCTCATGCACTGGACAGACTGGACTACAAAATATAAACGGTGATCAGGCTTCTGGCTAGATGATTTCTACTTGGTCAATATAAAATCGGTTCCCCACTTGAGCAGGCGTTTTATGTGAAGGTCGATGCTCTGTACCTGATTTACACACCTGACACCAACGGCCAAGAGTGGAAGTTTCGCTTCCCCACAGTAGACGGGAACTAAAATAGTGACAAAACGCTTGTTCTGTTCCCGATGCTCAGTATCCCCTACCATACAACTATTTTTCCTCGCAGTATTGTAGTGCCTCGGGGTCTTGGAGAGGCTCCCTTCTTATAGATGACAGGATTTGTGAGAGATTACATGGATATCACTGAGCGAATCCAGGTACCGCGACTTACAAGATCTGAACACTTTCTTGATACTCACTAACTTCCTCGAGCACGGCTTCGACTCGCCGAAGGAGCTTTACAGAGATTT